GCTATATCCTTTTGTTGAATTGATGCCTTTATTACTATATAATTATATAATGACCTTCCATGTCTTTTTTTTTTTTAATTTCTTTGGCTTGAAGTCTATTTTATCTGGCATAGTATAGCTACTTGTGCTCTTTTTCATTTCCATTTTCATGAAATGTCTTTTTCCATCCCTTCACTTTCAGCTGGTGTGTATTTTTATTGGTGAAATGAGTTTGTTGTAGGAAGCATATTGTTGGTTCTTGTTTTGTAATCCATTCAGCCACTCTGTGTCTTTTAATTGGGGCATTTAATCCATTTATATTTGGGGTTATTTATTGATATATAGGGACTCATTACTGCCGTTTTGCTGGAGTTTTCTCCTGGTTGTTTTGTCTTTTTTTCTTTTTTCCAGTCTTACTGTCTTCCTTTGTGGTTGAATGATTTTCTCTAACTTTACATTTTGATTTTTCACTATTTGTTTTTAGTATGTCTCTTATAAGTTTTTGTGTTATGGTAACCATGAGGCTTACAAAAAACATGTTATAGTTATAACAAATTATTTTGGGCTAATAACATCTTAACTCTGATAGCCAAGAAAAAAGAATACACTACAGTCAGCTCTACACTTCAGCAACACCCCCCACCCCCACACGCATTCTTTTTTTTTTTTTTTGTCCTTTTTGAGGCCAGCCGCACCGCGCTCAGCCAGTGAGCGCACCAGCCATGCCTATATAGGATCCGAACCCGCGGTGGGAGCGCTGCTGTGCTCCCAGTGCCGCACTCTCTCCCGAGTGCGCCACGGGCTTGGCCCCCCACACACACTTTTTGACATTTTGGTGTCCCAAGTTACATCTTTTAATATTGCCTCTCTCTTATATTCTTCTTATATATGTTAATGCCTTGTTAGGTTTATCGTTTAGTCTTTATGCTAAATTTATAAGTGGTTTATTCACCACCCTTACAAAATTGGAATATTCTGAGGTTGTCTGTGTATTTACTTTACTAGTGAGTTATGTACCTTCAAATGTTTTCTTGCTACTCTTTAGTGTCATTTTCTTTCAGGTCAAAGAGATCTCTTTAGCATTTCTTGTAGGGCAGGTTTAGCATTGATGAATTTCCTTAGCTTTTGTTTGTCTGGGAAAGACTTTATTTCTCTTTCATATTTGAAGGTTAGTTTTGCCAGATACAAAATTCTTGACTAACAGTCTTTTTTCTTCAGTACTTAGAATATATCTTCCCATTCTGTTATGGCCTATAGAGTTTCTACTGAGAAAGCTGCTGAGAGATATATACTATATATTTATTTTCTTTTGTTGCTCTTAGTATTCTCCCTTTGTGTTTGGTTTTTAATCATTTGATTATGATGTGTCTTGGGGGTGTTGCTCTTTGAATTAAATTTGTTTGGTGTCCTCTGAGTTTCCTGTACCTGGATGGTGTCATCTTTCTCCGTACTTAGGAAATTTTCAGCCATTATTTCCTTGAATGTGCTTTCTGGGTCTCTTCCTTCTTCGTCCCCTTCAGGTGTGCCAATTATTTGGAGTTATTTCTCTTGAGGGAATCCTATATTTGCTATATTTCTGTTTCATTTTTTCTTATTCTTTTTCCTTTTGCTCCTCTGATTGCGTAATTTCATGTGTTTTATCTTCAAGCTCACTGATTCTTTCCTCTGTTTGATTAATTCTGCTGTTGGAGCTATTTTTTCAGTTAAGAAAATGTATTTCTAGAATTTCTATTTTTTTTTTTTAGTTGATTCTATTCCTGTATCAGGTTTCTTGTTCTGCTCTTGAAGTTTTTCCAGATATCATTTAATTTTCTATCTGTATTATTTTTGTGTTTCCCTGAACATACTTAAAAGAGTTATTCTGAATTCTCTGTCAGACGTTTCATAGATCTGGTGTTCCTCTGTGTCCATTATTCATGCTTTGTTTCCTTTGGTGGCCACATTTTTCTGTTTTCTTGATCTTTGTGTTTTTACAATGATGCCTGGGCATTTGAGGAGATTGTTACCTCATCTGGGTTTTATAGGTGGTTATCAGAGCTTTGGCTCTGGTCTGTGGGGTGTTTTTCCATCCTGTAGTGGCTTAATAGTTATTGCCAGCACTTAGACTCTGCACAGAAACATGTGCTGTTCTGTGCCTACTTTATGAGTTGGGGGAACTACCTGTGGAGACCAGACCTTGAGCTCTGTGCTTTGAGCTAAATTGCTGCTTTGCTGCTGATTCTCTTGGAAGGCTTTTTGTGTGGATCGTTAATCACTTCCAGGTCTGGGCTTTGTGGAAATCCCAGCCTGCAACTGAGTCTTTCCTGCAGATTGTGTCCCTTACAGTTCTATCTATATCGCCTGACCAAATTTCACTGAAACCAGCTGCCTTCCCTGTGTCCAGTGTTCCCCCTTCAGGCCAGCCTTTCGCCTGCACTCCAAAGGGTTCCCACAGGGCAGGCTGTGTAGGCACCCCTTGCAATAACTCACTGGCCTCTGGGTGCTCTTTTTCTCCAGTCAGCTGTGGTTGCTTGTCCTGTGTGAGCCCAGGCAAATCTTGCCAGGGTCTTTATGGCCTGTGGGCTGGTGTGCTCTGAAACCTTCCTCTCACCTGCAGACTCCAAGGAGGTTTATGTGAATGATGCTACGGCAGCTTCTTCCAGCTTTAATCTGTGTGCAGTAGCCACTGCCAGCCGCCTATCAGGTGACTCAGAAGTGACCAAGGTGGTTCAGAAGCAGCCAGGGCTCAGAATGATGGGCACTGTCCCTACACCCTCTTGCTGTAGCCTTTTGTACCTTCACGAACTTCACAGGTCTCTCCTCCTCTTTCCCCAGCTCCAGCAGTCCACATTGGCAGACTACTTTTTAATAGTTGTAAATTGGTTTACTTGTGGGGAAGAGTGACAGTGGGAATCATCTATTCTGCCATTTTGATAACATCACTCCTCAATTAGTGTGAATTTAACCACTGTAACAGGTCATTAGAAACCTTAGTGAGAGCAGCGTGCATATACATATGTGTGTGTATAAAGGATCAAATTACGCATACTGTTTATAATCTTTCTAAAAACTCATATTACACATATCTTTTATATATACATATAATTATTAAGTGTAATAGATCTATGTTAGTAATAGCTATATAGTATTCTATCCCATGGAAGTACAATTTATTTACTAGTCTATTGATAGGTATTTAGGATATCAACAATTTTAGGTTATTATAAAAATTAAGCATGAAATATTCTTGTATATTCCTTTGGAAAACATGCATATCTCCTGATGAGAAATTCCTAGTGGCGTTATTGATGGGTCAAAGCATATGCACATGTGTTCGTCCTTCTGTGGCTCCCACTGCCCTGGACAAACTGCGGAATCCTTCGTGTGGTATTCAGGGCCTCCACTTACTTCTCTGCCTCATTTCTTGCTGTGCCCCACTATCACACTCTGCTCTCCAGCTATATTTAAACCCCTGAATTGCGATTTCTGTAACAAATCTTATTTCTGCTCTTGAGGGATTTTCAGATGTGGTTCCTGTATCTGGGGTATCTATTTTATTTAATTTGTTGAGGCCCTCAAGGTCTCAGCTTGGACTTCCCATCTGTAAAGTTCCTTGACTTATTATGGTTGTCTTGATTTTTCTTCCTACCTGATTCCCCCCAAACCCTTTGTACCTGTTGTGGAAATTTCATCTTATCCTAATCATAGCATTTATAACACTTTGTTGTTGTTTGTTTTCTTCACTAAATCATAATCTCCTTGAAAGTCAAAATAGGGTTTTTCCTCAGTGTTGGATTTCCTCCTCCTCAGACAGAACTTAGTATATGGTGCACACTAATAAATATTTGTTGAATCAGTGAACAAATGTAATAACAAAGGCCATCTCCTCTTCCGACATTTCCTTTCTGTCATAGAAAGGGCACAGGAAGTATTGTGTCACCGTAGTAGCAGAGTTAAATTTGCACCAGGTGTAAGATTCATATCATTTTCTTGTACTTCTGCATCTATGTGAAACATTTTAACTTACTTTTATTTAGAGTTGTTACAGAGTAGAGAGAAAAGGCTTCATGAAAGTGTGGAAGAACATACAAATGTCTAGAGTGTAGCTGCTTGTAAAAGTGATGACTACAGTTAACCACAGCAGAATCAAATGAGTCTATTAAAAAAAAAAACTTTTTAAGAAGATTTATTTATCTTTTTGAGTTAAAGTTTATCAGTACAAATGGATGCTGTTTTGATAGTTCTTATCTTAAGTTTCTTTTGGTTTTAAAGTACAAAAACCTCTTCAAAGTCACATAAGATGAAAAGAGAATTGTATTTGGGACCCCTCTAGGAGAATCAAAGGGGAAAAAGTGCACACCCAGACACCCAGAAGAGTAGAAACTCAGTGGTCTGTTGGTGGCGCTTTCTGTATTGCTGCTCCGTTCCTCCCTTCGACCTGCTCTCTCTGGGTCAACACACACCCAGACACCCAGAAGAGTAGAAACTCAGTGGTCTGTTGGTGGCGCTTTCTGTATTGCCGCTCCATTCCTCCCTTCGACCTGCTCTCTCTGGGTCAACATAAGTCAAATGTGCAACCCCAGTGCAGTCATTTATATCGGGAATATGGGATGGACTGGTCACCTGGTCTAAAAATGGATTTCAGATGATTCACCTTGAAGTAATGGAAGAAAAAGACAGTTCTCAAAGAAGGGTAAATAGTTATTGGGCTAACTAGAGGGATATGTGAAAAAGATCTGCTGTAGACTAATCTGATTTGAAATTAAGTCTGAATCTTTTTTTACTTAAAGTAAATTATGCACGATGAGTTGTATTTTCTGTTTCTAATGTATTTTGGTCAGATACAGTCTTTATGCTATAAAAATATATAATTATTGCAGTGCTCTGGAAAAACTCCTGTCATGTTCCAAACAATAAAAAGGAAATAAACTGTCTTGCAAAATTTTTATGATGATACTTTTTATTTTTAAGAATACTTACTTGTAAATATTTTATAACTTCAGGTTCAAAAACTAATAATTTTTTTTATGTTTTATTCATAGGTCATGCCTCGACTGCATTGGTAAAAATGCTATCATTTTAGAAAGTCAGATATCTTTATTACCTCCTAAACTTCTGCAACAAGTACTCAAAAAAATAACATTTTGGACTGCAGCTAATCACCGAGAAGAACAAAGAGTTCAAAAAGAAGAAACAAAATAAATATCAGTGGATCAGTAGCAATTAAATTGTTATATACTCTATATATTTAATGGGTTTAAACATTTTAATTAGACTGTACATTTACTGCCCCACCCCCCTCACCCCCAAATTGTAAGCTTTATTTAAAGGATAAAATTTGAAACAAAATGCTCTGTTAAAGTGATTATATGGTATGGTATACATGTAAATAAGATTTTAATGCAGATTAATTTATATTTGTATTTATAAACCAATTTCCTTATAAGCTGCAGAAAATTTATGCTTTCTGAAAGTAAGTACAATGTTAACATGTTTAACTCAATGTATACTCTTTACTGGAAAGATTATACAAATTTGAGAATAAGAAAGTATCCCAAGGACTTCAGAAATTCCCCAGCATAATTGTACACACACACACACACACACACACACACACACACACACAATGTATCAACTTTCAGAAAGGATAAATTTTCTCAAGTCACCTTTAAATTACCTTAGGTTTTCCTTAAATAACTCAGTTATTAAGGAACTTCTTCTTAAATAACTAATACAGCTGGCCAAAAATTATAAAATAGGCAAACACCAGTATGATATTAAATATTGAAATACTGTCCTTTTAGCACTTACCTAGGAAAGTATTTTTAGGCATTATTGTAACTTTTCCTCACCTCTATTTGAGTAGGGGAATAAATATCTTCAATTGTCTCTTTTACTCCTAAGTTATTAGTTTGTCTAGTTTTATATATTTATAAAGATTATGTTTTAAAGTATATAAAGTAGAGGCTTATTCATCATATAGGCTGTGAAATATTGAAAAGCATTTATACTTGTTAACTTTTGAGACATCTTAAAATACATTCTGCTTTGGAAGAGTGATCGTAAAGTAAGTTTTGTAAGTAATGAAATAGGATAGTAATCTAGTAATTTGACTTTATAGAAACCCCTCAATTTGGCCCACACCATTCTACAGAGCTGATGCTCAAGACACTAAGATGTTGAAAGTCTGGTATCTTCTCTTTTATTTTCAGCATTACCATCTGTACAGAAAGGGAACACTGTATCTTTATATAACCTCAAAATTGTACATATGCCATAATTAAGAAGTTTTTCTTCATTTGATTACAGTCATGCCCTTCCATTGAATTACTAATTACAATTGAGTACTAAAAAGTTCTGTATATAAAATTATTCTCCACAATATCACCATGCAAGCTATATCTGAAATTTTAAATGTTAGAAAATATATATTTCTATATTGAAATATATATATAATTTATAATGAAAACTATAATAGTTGTAGTATTTCACTGAATTTTAGAGATATATTTTTTATATATGTACTGTATTTTGGATGTGTAAAGCTTTGATTTACTGAAATATTTTGTGTTTATATTTTATTTATTGTTCCAACTATATAGAATTACTGTTTTCATAGTTTTGTTCATGTGAACTGGTCATTAGAGTTAATTGTGCAAAAAAATATTTCAGTGTAAGTTTTCCTTTTTTTTTTTTTTTTACTATTTTTAGGCTAAATAACATATTTTGAAAATGAATCTCACAAGTAATATACATCTTAGAAATAATTATCTTATTACTATGGACTTCAGTATCAGCATTTTTATATTTAAGGCAAAAAAATACCAAAACCTAGTTGGACAGTGACAGATGACGTTGAGTGGAATGAACACCCTTTAAAATGGCTTCTGGATTATGTGAATGCCTTCTCCAGCCTCTTAGAAGAAACCTCTGTTTTTAAATGATTTATTTGGAACGTTAAAAGTTGGATTGATCCCCCTCAAAAATACATACTCTTATTCAGGCTTTAAGAGAATGAAAATCTACATAATATCTTTAGCACACAAAAGTAGTGCTATTCTTATATAACTTAATAGACTTATATGTTCTGAGGCAGCCCCATAGTAGGAGCAGCAGGGAATTCTAATCTTTGCCTTCAATGTCCAAATTTTGGCTTAAACCTGTGCTTCCTTACTATTAGGAGATAGAAAGATTCTAGGAGCTAGCAAAGCCAGTTTTGAAGTTCCATAGGCTGAGCAATATTGACTCCTCACTTCTTACCGGCTGATGGTTTACTATCAAATTTTGTGCTGTTGACCTCCACAGTACGTAAGAGCCCAAGAAAACCATAATTTTACCTCTGAACTCTCCCTTACTGGCTCCCTCCTTGGAAGATGACTCTAGAAGAGTTGATGGGATTTTTTTCATGTGGTTCACAAAATGCGTGTGCAGTCTGGTTCTACAGGAAAAAGAACCTCAGGATATTTTTCCAGTTGTCAAGAAGGATTTTTTTTATGGTATTATTATCATGTTTAATATGATATAATAAACAGCCCATCAAAGTTGGTGTACATTTTTTTCTAAATAATATCTTTGCATAAACACCTTTTAAATATATATATATTTTTTAAAAAATATTAGCCTCTTGCACCTAGAAGCTTAAAAATATTTAGAACTGTGTACTGTCAGCTCACACACAGAGTGATATTTTCACCAATGTACTATTTATATGTGTATATGTGTGAGAGAAATGAAAGAAACCAAGATAGAGTAATTTTTTTTTTTTGTCCTTTTTGAGACCAGCCGCACCGCGCTCAGCCAGTGAGCACACCGGCCATCCCTCTATAGGATCCGAACCCGCGGCGGGAGCGTCACTGCGCTCCCAGCGCCGCACTCTCCTGAGTGCGCCACGGGCTCGGCCCAAGATAGAATAATTTTAAGGATAGTCCTTTATGTTGACAAATTAAAATTTAGATTTTAGGACATTTGGAAGAAAAACAAGCAATTTTAAGGAAAAGGTAATCAACATGTTCACCATTTTTGGTGCCTATTTTTCCATTGTATTAATGTAATTCTACTGGGATTTCCGGTTTGATGAAATTACTATACAGTCCAGCATGTGGACACAGCAAGAAGAACATTTTTTAATTACTCAAAGTCCATAGTTTACATTAGGATTCATTCGTGTTGTACATTCGATGGATTTTGACATACATAATGAAATGGATCCACCAATGTATTATACAGAATGGTTTCACTGCCCTAAAAAAGAAATCCTCTGTGTTCCACTTTCCTTCCCCCAAGCCCTGGCAATTACTGATCTTTGCACTGTTTTCATAGTTTTGCCTTTTCCAGAATGTCATATAGTTCCAATAATACTATACGTAGCCTTTTCAGATTGGTATCTTCACTTAGTAGTATGTATTTAAGTTTTCTTCTTGTCTCTTCATGGTTTGGTAGCTCATTTCTTTGTAGTGCTGAATAATATTCCATTGTCTGGATGTACCACACTATTTATCCATTTACCTACTGAAGGATATCTTGGTTGCTTCCAGGTTTTGGCAGTTGTGAATAAAGATGCTATAAACATCCATGTATAGCATATTTTCTTATGGACATAAGTTTTCAGCTCATTTAGGTAAATACCAAGCAGCAAGATTGTTGGATTGGTTGTAAGAGTATATTTAGTTTTGTAAGAAACCATCAGGCTGTCTTTCAGAGTGGCTGTACCATTTTGCATTCCCACCAGCAATGAATGAAAGTTTCTGTTGCTCCACTTCCTTGCCAGGATTTCGTGTCATCAGTCTTTCAGATTTTTTTTTTTTTCTTTTTTTGTCCTTTTTGAGACCGGCCGCACTGTGCTCAGCCAGTGAGTGCTGTGAGCGCACTGGTCATCCCTATATAGGATCCGAACCTGCAGCGGGAGCGCTGCTGCGCCTGCAGCGCTGCACTCTCCTGAGTGCGCCACGGGCTCGGCCCTAGTCTTTCAGATTTTGGCCATTCTAATAGGTGTGTACTGGTATCTCATTGTTTTAATTTGCAATACCCTAGTGACATGTAATGTTGAACATCTTTTTATATGCTTGCTTGCCATTTGTATGTTTTCTTTGGTCTTTCAGATTCTTTGCCCATTTTTCAATCAGGTTCACTTATGGTTGAGTTTTAGGAGTTCTTTGTGTACTGTGGGTAACAGTTCTTTATCAGATGTGAATTGTGCAAATATTTTCCAGTCCGTGACTCGTCTTCCCATTTTCTTGACATTGCCTTTCACAGAGCAGTTTTTCATTTTAATGAAGTGTGTCTTACTTATTTCTTCCATGGGCTGTGCTTTGGTGGTGTATTTAAAAAGTCATCACCAGGGCCGGCCTGGTGGCGCACTCGGTAGAGTGCGGCAGTTGGGAGCGCAGCGGCCCTCCCTCTGAGGGTTCGGATCCCATATGGAGACCGGTCCGCTCACTGGTTGAGCGCGGTGCAGGCGCGACACTGAGGGTTGCGATCCCGTTACCAGTCACGAAAAAAGACAAAAAGAAAAAAAAAAAAGTCATCACCATACCCAAGGTTACTCAGGTTTTAATATACATTATTTTCTAGAAATGTCATAGTTTGACGTTTTACATCTAGGCCCGTGATCTATTTTGAGTTAATTTTTGTGAAGCATGTAAAGTTGTCTAGACTCATATTTTTGCATGTGGATGTTCAGTTGTTCCCACATCAGTTGTTGAAAAGACTGTCTTTTCTCTATTAGTGTTTCTTTTGCTCCTTTCTCAAAGAGAAGTTGACTATAGTCACATGGATCTATTTCTGGGCTCTCTATTTTCTGTTCCATTGATCTTTAGTCCCTTCTTTCACCAGTACCATACTGTCTTGATTATTGTCACTTGATATATCAAGTCTTGAAGTTGGGCAGTGTCAGTCCTCCAACTTTGTTCTCCTCCTTCCATCAACTCCTTCAAAATAGCTTCTCCTTCAAGTCAGCTCTTTTGGATCTTTTGCCTCTTGATGTAAATTTTAGAATCAGTTTGTAAATATACACAAAATAACTTTCTGGAATTTTATTCTGTTTTTTAAGATTAACAGCAGTTTATTAGTCACATACACTCAGTCAGGAGGAGGGTACCGTAAGCAATGCAGGCCAACACAGGGATTGCACTTGGGAGCAAAGAGAACAAACGGGATAGGGGATAGGATTTGTAGTATCAAGAAGATGAGATGTTCCTTGATTTCTATGGAAAAATGTGATTGGTTTGTTTGAATAATTCTGAGCTCAATGTTTGCAAAAAAAGTAGAAATCCGTAATCCAGAGACCCTCTTTAAGAATGAGCCACTGATACTGGCTGGCTGGTTAGCTCAGTTGATTAGAGTGCAGCCTTGTAACACCAAGGTCAAGGGTTCGGTTCCCTGTTCTGGCCAGCCACCAAGAAAAAAAAAAAGGAAGGAGCCACTGATAAAACACTATATATTTATAATTTGTATGACGTCTCATCATGTTGTAAATTTTCTCAAGCATTATACAGTAATTGGTTTGCATCAGGCTTTCCATATTATTTATATTTATAGTATATCTTTCCAGTTAGAGTATTCACATGACTTTTTAAGTAATTGCAAAAATTTTTAAATGTCCTGTATTTTCCAAACTACTAGGGTTTCAATCCAATGTGCATTCTTATAAGGTCCATCTCCAGTATACATTATCATGTGCCTTTGAATGGATATGAGAGAAATGAAGGCATTCCATATTTTGTACACTCATAGGGTTTTTCTCCAGAGTGAGTTATTTCATGCTTTCAAATGGAACCGGAACTGAAGGTCTTACCACATTTTTATATTCATAAGGCTTTTCTCCAGTGTGAATCCTTCTGTGTTTAAAAAAAAAAAAAAAAATTGGAGGGCCGAGCCCGTGGCGTACTCGGGAGAGTGCGGCGCTGGGAGCACAGTAGCACTCCCACCACAGGTTCGGATCCTATATAGGGATGACCGGTGTGCTCACAGCTGGCTGAGCTCGGTGCAGCCAGTCTCAAAAAGGACAGAAAAAAAAAAATTGGAAAAACAGAAAGCTTCAACATACTTCTAACAGTCCTAGGGTTTTTCTTCAGTGTGAGTCCTTTCATGTCTTTAAAAGCAACTGAGAAAATTGAATGCTTCACCACATTTTTTACATTAGAAGGATTTCTCTTTAGTATAAATCCTTTCATGTTTTTGAACATTACTGGAAAAACTAAAGCCTTTACCACATTTTGTACATTCATAGGGTTTTTCTCCAGGTAAGTTCTTTCATGTATTCAAAGGAAACAAACATCTGGAGGTTTTACCACATTTCTCATATTCACAGGGTTTTTCTCCAGTATGAGCTATTTCATGCATTCAAATAAACTGAAAAAATTGAATGTTTCCAATATTCCTACATTCATAGGGTCCTTCTCCAGTGTCCTTTCATGTGTTCAAAGGGAAATGGAACATCTGAAGGCTTCACCATGTTATTTACATTAACAGTTTTCTCCAGTGTGAACACTTTCATGTATTTGAAAGCATACAAAAAAAGTGAATGTTTCCCCACATTAATTATATTCATAGGGTTTCTCTCCAGTGTGAGTTCTTTTATGTTTCCAAAGGGGACTGGAATATCTGAAGGCTTTACCATTTAGTTTACATTCATAAATTTTTTTCTCCAGTGTGAATTCTTCCATGTATTCACAGGTAACTGGAAGAATAGAAGCTTTTACCACATTTTTTATGTTCATATGGTTTTTCTCCAGTGTGAATACTTTCACATTTTTGAAGGGAACTGGGAAAATTGAGTGGTTTCCCACATTCCTTACATTCATAGGGTTTCTCTGCAGTATAAGTTCTTTCATGTTTCTGAAGGGAATTGGAACATCTGAAGACTTTACCATTTAGTTTACATTCATAAAATTTTTCTCCAGTGTGAATTTTTTCATGCATTTGAGAGGAAGGGGAAAAACTGAAGGCTTTACCTCATTGTTTACGTTTATGGGGTGTCCCACCACTATGAGTTCTTTTATGTATAGAAAATTAACTGGGAAAATCAAAGGCTTTCCCATGTAACATACATCTATAAGTTTCATTTTTCAGTGTGCATTTACCATGTGTTTTTGAACACTGGTGAGAGAAATAAAGGCTATCCACATTGTTTATATGGGGTCTTTCCATATTTCTCACACTCACATTGTGTGCAGAGTGAGAAATGATGTGCCTATTAAGGGATGAATGACATGAAGACTTTTGCACACCCGCTGCATTCACATGATTTTACTCCAGTAAGAATTTTCTACAGATTAAGATTTGGGATCTGACTGAAGGTTTCTGTACACTGACTACCTTCTTTACTTTCACATTGCATTTTTAACATATGACTTCTGTAGAAGCCAGACTCCTGAAGGCTTCCCACATCACATATCTACACAAATTCTTCCAGAAAAGATCCAGCAAAACCCACTGTTCCTGGGTGAAGTTCATATCCACATCCACAAAGGCCACTAAGTCAACATGGGAGAAACTCTAGATGACCTTGGGCTTGGCAATGAGGTTTCAGATGCCATATCAA